TTAAAGAATTAATCAAGCAGACTGTAAGGCCTTGGCTACGGTGGAGCCAGCCAATTATGAGCTGCTCTGAAATTCATCTCTGTACATCCAACAACATTTTCCCACATAGAGATTAGTGGAGGATGTGGAGACAAGGTCTGCTCCCACTAGCACAGCTACAGCGTGCGCTCAGCAAAACTCAACAGAGTCAAATTTATTTGGTACTCTTTTGTTGTTGTTGTTGTTCTTGCCTTAGCCCTAATACCTTTTTTGACAGCATCGCAGTGACTATCCTATTTAGTTAAAACTCAATGTGGAGCTTTGGCATTCAAACACGTTATCTTGATGCAGAGCACTGGAGCCACAGCTTCAGGTCTGAATCCATCAGGAAGCTAGTGAAATCCCCGCAGAGCGTCTCTAAATCTTTTGTGATAACAGCCTCCAAGCCTGGCTAAGAAGCAAGCTCTTTCTGCAGAGTGGAACTGAAAGGGGCCAGAGTGGGTGAGACTAGCTCGCTGAGGGGAGAGCAGTGCTGTTCTTAAATAAAGACACTCCTTTCAGATAAGAGAATCAGATTCCCAGAGCTGCTTGCTGGCTACCCTTTCTTTGAACCCTCATATTTAACCCAGCAGGCTTCAAGGCAGGTGAGAAAATGACCTACCACTTAAAAGCAATTTTTCCTTTTTCAGGAATCCTGGCCTTGGAGAATATCAGCTCTGGTATCAGTACATTCCACATCTTCAGGGATTTATGCAACCTTTTCATTGCTCTGTGCATAATGTCAGATGAGGTTTTCATCTCAGTCTGGAGAAAAATATCCTAACTTGCTGAAAACTAAGTCTGAATCCACATAGCTTTATACCATGAAAAAGGGGAGAGGGTGCTAAAACCAGTAATCATTCTAGCTCATTCATCCTCATCCATTTCTTTAAATTTGATACACAGTGAGAATTTTAAAAATCATTAATCTTAGGGCTGGGAATGTATCTCAGTTTGTAGAGGGCTAGTTTGCCATGTTCAAAGTCCTAAGAACTCAAGGTCATCCTTAACTACATAGTGAGTTCCAGAACACCTGCTATACACAACACCTTGCCTCAAAAATAAAAAACCCCAAGTCATTAATCTCCAGTGCCTGGCGTTATAAAAACACATTTTTGTAATAAATGTATCTTAAGAAATTCAAATAGAATTTGCTTTAACATGTGAGCTAAAACAAAAAGATACAAGAGAAAGAAGATGAAATGGTAATAACAAAATATTTATATTTGGTCACACATGGTGACACATGCCTACAGCCATGGATACTTTGAAGACTGAGGTTTGAGGATCACTTGAGCCCATGAGTTTGTGACCCACCCTGGCAACAAAGTGAGACCCATCTCTAACAAAAGGGGGGAGCAGTAATGGGGCAGGAAGATGAAGAGATAATAATAATTTGATAAGTTTTTTTACGTGGCTTTGCCTTATTAAGAAGTAGGAAAAGAATATTTCATCAGTTCCTACTTTATATTGTCATTATAGATCTGAGCCAACTGAAAAATCCTTACACAGTTTATAACATGCCAAAACATTATGTCCTACAAACCAGTTTGCAGTACCAGAAAATGGAAACATTTTTCTTCTTTTTGTGGTTCACGCACACATGATGTATCAATTGCATAACTTAATTATTTAAATGACATCCATCTATCACTTATACTTCAACTACTGTGGAAAAACTCATTGTGAGCTTATTATTATCCTCCAAATGTACAGAGAGAGGTTTTTCCACTGTAGCCCCTCTTTAGTGGTGACAATGATGACAATGAGAGGAACAATATCCACTTACTTCTTACTGTGGAAAAACATAGCTCTAAACACTTGATATATATTAAACTCTTTTGCCCCCAACACAAACTATGTAGTACTCCTTCTCACTTTACAGTTAAGCGAGAAGACTGCCTAACTTATGTGAGACTGCAAGACAGTTCAGAGTCAGGGCTGGGTCCAGAGCAAAGCAGAGTGGTTCCAGAGTGTTGCTCATAACCACTTTGTAATGCTGCCCCTTCTCCATTCACTCCGGTAAGGCAGCCCACTAGCCTAGGGTTCCAAATCCCTCATAGGGTAGAACAAGGCTTCTCAAGCTTTAAATATGCATGTAGAATAAGGAAGGCACGGACTCTAACTCAGGAGGTCTGCAGTAAAGCCTTAAGCTGTGCATGTTTAACAAACTCCTAGAGGAGGGTGGTGTTCCTAGAGTACACAACGTATTTTTATGAAGTGGTGGAGTGTTATAGAATATTTGTTTAACTATGTAAAGATGTGTTGCTGTTTTCCCTTACCTGCCTAAGGTACCTGATTGGTCTAATAAAAAGCTGAACAACCAATTGTTAGGCAAAGGATGGGTAGATGGGGCTGGCAGGCGGACAGGAAAGAGGAGCTGGTCAGTCAGCAGGGAGCCAGACAGACAGACATGGAGGAAGCAGAATGAACAGTACAGTAGATGAGATAAATGAGCCTCGAAGCAGCATATAAATAAATAGAAATGGGTTAATTTAAGTTAAAAAAAAACAACTAGGTAGAAACAAGCCTAAGCTGAGGCCGAGCATTCATAATTAACAATAAATCTCTGTGTTATGATTTGAGGGCTGGTGGTCCAAGAAAGCTTGCTACAGTGAAGAACTAGAAGAGGAGCCTCTAGCTCTTTCCTGCATGTCTGCTGTCAAAGTATTTAAGCACTGTATATTATAAGGGCAGACTGTCTATTCACATCCATTAGCTTTTACACAGGACCTGTCTTTGGAATAACTGCATGCCACAGACTGATACACAGGTTCCATCAGTAAGTATGTGGCTTTTAGAAATTGAAAACACACATGTAAAAGCCTTAGGGATAAAATGTGACTATAAAAGTCCACTCTTAGCAATTTTTTAAATATTATATATACTAACTATACAAATACAGTATATAAATGTTTATTGTTCATCAACTAGAATAATAATATATTAGTAACTTTTGGTAAAAAGAGAGAGAGAGAGAGATAGAGAAAGAGAGAGAAACATCTACTTTAAACTAAACTATGTCATTCTTCATTCTCCAGTCTCTGCTAAGAATGCTGAGGAACCTTAAAGTTTTTCTGGTGCCACTAGTGACCTCTTCAGCGAAGGCAGTTACTATATGAACACTATGGATAGAGACTGGAGTCCACTCCACAGTCATTTTGGGCAGAACTTGAGGGAAATACACTGGTGAGCTACATCTCTACTCTAGATTCTGGATCTCTCTTTGCTCTCCTGCTCTATTCTTCCTTCCTACACCACTGTCTTGAGAAAAACTCAGGAACCATCTCTCGTTGCCTGTCTGTATTTTAAAAACATGGATTAAAGCCCCCCCCCCACTTCTTTTTCTTCTCTTCTAGCTTTTAATTGGATAGGATTCCCTTTCTGTTCCATTTTCTCCATGCTCCTCACATAGTGAGGCATGAGAGTTTGAGATGCACTCATTCCCAGCAGCACCACTGTAATCAACAGGAAAATCTATTACTAAGCTTCCTTCCCACACTAAGAGGAAATGGAATGGTCAATCTGCACCTCACACATCTGTACTCCCTGAGCAGCAGTGGGAAGTCATTCATTTTGGAGACTGCCTCAAAATCAAATGCATACTCAGACTCCTAGGCTTACAGCCAGTGGCATCTTAACACATTATATAGTTGACCTTCAGGGAAAACAGGGAATGAGCCAGTGTCCATAGCATGGGTGCCATAAGAGCTAACTAATCTGTATGACACAAAATATAAACTATTCTTTTTTGTTTGTTTGTTTGTTTGTTTCAAGACAGGGTTTCTCTGTGTAGCCCTAGCTGCCCTGAAACTTGTTCTGTAGATCAGGTTGGCCTCAAAAATCCCAAAGATCTGCCTGCCTCTGCTTTCCAAGTGCTAGGATTAATGGTGTGTGCCACCACTGTTGGCTAAAATAAACTATGAGAAAAACAAGTAGTTATAATGGAAGCACATAGATATAGAAAATATACTACCAAGTAAACTGATTCTTCTATGACTCTCAGTGCATGTCTTATGTTTGAGAATATAATAAAAAATACTTTCTTTTGTGTTTTAACCCATTATTTGGTGAATATGCTATGACATAAAAGGGATATGCATTTTTATTTATTTGCTTATGCTTAATTTATTACTATTGTGCTTATATAATGGGAGAGGCACATGCGTCATTACATGTATGAAGGTCAGAGCACAACTTTGTAGACTTGGTTCTCTTCTTCTACCTTTATGTAGATTTGAATTTAGATTGCTTAGATTAAGCTTAGCAACAAGTACTTTACCTGTTGAACCATCTTGCCAACCCCCAAGAAATGTGCACTTTTACAATAAAAATTATTAAAAGAAAATTATTTGGTGATATTAATATATCTGTGTAGAGGAATGAAAAGATACCATTTTAGTATCAGTCATCAGCCAGACAATGGTGGCACATGCCTGCAATCCCAGCACTAGGGAGGCAGAGGCAGGCAGACCTCTGTGAATTTGAGGCCTGCCTGGTCTACAGAGTGAGTTCCAGAACAGTTAGGACTACATAGAGAGTCCCTGCCTCAAAACAAACAAACAAACCAGTCCTCTGTCAGGAAATAGGGATGGAATTCAAAATTAAAGGGCTAAAATTAAAATAAAGGCTGACATATAGTTCTATACTTAAGACTGGAAAAAGGTCAATAAAAGAATGCAGATACAAAACCTGGGAGAACCTTTGAGCCAAGAAGCATATTCTACATGCAGAACAAGTGTCCCACCTGTGTGTGCCTTCTATATCCTTATTCTCTACCACAGTTTTACTCTGGAGTTAAAAATCAGCAAATATTGTGAATTCGTGGCTTCATTTAAATGGGAAAATCAAAAAGTTTGTTCACAAAATTAGTAAAGTTTTAAATACCAAAGAAAATATACTAAAGATAAAGAAAAATTGGATTACTCTTTAGTTGGTAAGGAATGCTGTCTTAATCACCAAAAGTAATTACAAAGGCCAACTTTATAATGTTATAGCATTGTATTCTTAAACTTTTAAGTAACAGAAGTAAGTTGACATCAGCAGAATTCATGGCTGACATATTTACGGTAGGAGCATTACAGAGCAGTTCTTGCCGTTTGTGAGCATCTTTCATGGTCCGTGTAGGTTAGCACAGACACCAGAGAGGCTTTCCCGTGGTGTTTTATAAATACTCCACACAAGTCCTTGAGATCATACTCACGGCTTTAGCAAAGACACCCATGACTTCAGGGAACTGGTGCGTGAGAAACGCTATCATTGCTGTAGAAGAACAGAGTCCTGCTGTAAAGTGGATGAAGAAAGGAAGCTCCTTTTTTGGATAAACAGAAACATGATGAAAAGCTGCAAGGGAAAATTGGTAAGAGTGAGTTTTATTTCAGTACAAACCAATTTTAATATTTTTAAGTTAAATCTAGCTTTGAAAATTAAAAGTGTGGTTAAAGGGAAGTAGAAAAAGACAAGATCTCCTGAGTAAATTGGGAGCACGGGGACCTTGGGAGAGGTTGAAGGGGAGGGGAGAGGCAGGGAGGGGAACAGAGAAAAATGTAGCGCTCAATAAAAATCAATAAAAAATATTTTTAAAATGTGGTTAAAAAAATAACAAGAACAAAGGTAAGAGAAAGCTATTCAGTATATCTGCATAGTCAGGTGACCGCATTGGGGTCTGGGAACAGGACGGCCTCGTGGGAAAGACCGTGAACTATAAAGTCATGCTGAGGGGGCTTTGTCACTTATGAGCTGTGCACTAACCCTGTAGAAGTTGCTATGGAGCTGCTATGAAGGACAGTGTAAGCACTTAATAAATGTGAGTTGTTATTAATTCTTGCTCTTTGAAAGCTCAGCAAGTAGTGTAGAGATAAAGAGATAGACATGTCTTGGGGAATTTCCCAGAATCATTGCTTAATAATTTTACTCAATTATTACTATGTTCCATGCGTGACAGTTCACCAAGTGCTATGGAAACAGAACTAGGAAGCCAAGGCTCCGGCCATAGTTGAAGTTCTTTGCCTTATTTTATCACATTTATACATTTGAGTATTATTTTTCTAATGTTTGTCTCATTTCTCATTATCAATTTTATTCAAGTACTTATATATTATTCAAAGTACTTGGATAACAAATGATCTAGAGCAAAACCTATTCGTGTGCCCAATGCACAGTAAGTGTTCAATAAATTCCTTTCAAACGAGAGCTATGTGAAGACTTCATTGGTCAGAAAGTTGACTGCTAGGACATCAACCCAGGAATTCCTGATGTAATATCCTGCAGCAGTAAGGAATGACTAATTCCATGCTGAACCAAGGTCAGCTATAAATTTCAATTTTTAAAAACATAACTATTAACAGAGAAGGTTATACCCAAGTTTCCTTCAATAGCCACAATATTTTATATATCTTATACTATACCCAGAAAGCACATATAAAAAAACTTAAATTCATCTTAAAAATTCAGATTTCTAGAGCCTCCAGCCATACTTCATGTAAAAGCACAATAGCACTCAACTCGGTAAAAACTAAAAGCATTAAAAGCTGTCAGTGTTGCTCTTTCAGCACCAAAGAACCAGCAATCCCTTCTGCCCTACCCCTCATCCATGAGTGGACAACTACTTCCAGCAAACAGAGAAACAAACTCTGGTATTTCAGAAGGTGAGGAATAACACAGTAAAATTAGTATTAGCTAAACCCTAAAGCATTTATGGTTTTTAAAGTTCTCATTTAATTTTTGAAATAACCTGAAGATAGGTAGTATTGTTTTCATTTTACGATAGAAAGACTGAACAGCTTTAGTAGCAAAACTTCCTAAAATATGAGACTTTTATATTGTAGGAGAGACCTAATTATTTCTTTTTCGATTGCTCTGTAGATTCACTTGTCAGTCAACGTTTGGCTAATACATCAATATAATGGATGACTGACTAGTACAGAAACACTCCCTTGGAACAAAAGTTCAAATTTCATCACTGGCTTGTAAAGAAAAATTTATTAGGAGGCATAAAAGACGACAGAATAGCTATATGAACTAGGGGGAATAGTTCAACTCTCCACTTATGAGTCTATAAGCAAATTCCAGAAAGCTGTAAGTCATATCAAGGCTGAAGGAGAATTAAAAACAAAAACCATTAAGTACTCCTGGGTATTAGAACTCCACATTATTAGAAATTTGTTCATTCCACCAGTCAGAAACAAAAAAATATACTGTAAGAACATATACTATTATCAAACACACCCTCCAGCATATCCCTCTATGTCTGTGTTCTGGAGCTTTGTACCCTGTATGGAGTTAAGACTTAATGAAAGCTCATCAAAAAACCTAACTGGGGGCTGGAGAGATGGTTCAGTGGTTAAGAGCACTGGCTACTCTTCCAAAGGACCCAGGTTTAATTCCCAGCACCCATTCTGCATCTCACAACCATCTGTAACTCCATTTCCAGAGGATCTGACGTCCTCTTCTGGCCTCTTCAGGAATGGGACATGCATGAAGACATATATGCAGCCAAACACCCATAAAAATAAATTAAGATTTTAAAAATCTATGTTTAAAAAAACTCTATGTGATCTTGTAGCTCCTGGTTCTGATGTAAGAAATATTAATATGTAGGCTAGGGACATGCCTCAGTAGTTAAGAACAATGACTGCTTTCAAAAAGACCCAGGTTCAATTTCCAGCACTCACATGGCAGCTCACAACTGTCTGGAACTCCAGTTTCAGGGGATCTGATGCCCTCATACATATATACTTCAGGCAAAACACCAATGCATATGAAATAAAAATAAATCATTAAAAAAGAAATACTAATTCTTTTAGTATAAATGTACTATCTTAATACAATGAAAAATTTTGTTATTTCACTGTATTTTTTGAGACAGGGCCTTGTTATATGTAGACCTCACTCTTCCTCAGTCTCCCAAAGGCTAGATAAGATTATAGGCATGTGCTACCATGCCCAGGTATACACTTGTGTATTGATTGACTTAAAAATTGATTTCTTGACCTTAAAAATCTCTGTTCCTTTTTAAATGGAAAAATAACAGCTAGGAAAAATAATAGTTAACCCCACCTTAAGTAGGCAAATGCAATTTCTCTCACTAATGACCTCCCAATTGCCAAAGTCAATAAAGTCTTCTTAGTAATTGCCTGTGCTGGTATCTCAGCGGCGACTCCTCACTGGGACGTTTCTTCTCCTTAGTTACTAGGATATCTAGTTCTTGTCTCTGACTACTCCTCCACTAGATTTTCATTTGCTTTCTTGCCATTAGCTCCTTGGAAAATTTTGTGCCTTCTTGGTTCTACCTTATACGACACAGTACTCCCTTGTAATCTTAGCCTTGTAAAGAACTCCTTTGGTTATCTAGAAATGAAACTCCTTAGTCTCTTTTGTGAGACTGAGAAAGAAATGTCAGGGACCCTGGCAATTCTATTCAAATAAGCTGACCTTGTTTCTAGTATACAGCTAACTGGATTAGGCACAAACACGGAGATAAAGCACAAGCTCTCTGAGAGCTGTGGGGCTGGTGCAATGGCCGAGTAAAATTCTTGCTGTGCGAGCGTGAGCACCTGAGTTCTCAGTCCCAGGACCACAGAAAAACCCAAATGCCGCATGCCAGTAATTCTAGAGTTAGCAAATCACAGCCAGGCAGATCTGTGGTGCTCGCTGGCCAGGCAGCCTAGGGGAATCTGAGCTCCAGATTTAGTGAAAGCCCTTGTTGAAAAAATAAGATGGAAACCATCAAGCAGGACATTCAGTGTTGACCTCTGACCTCCACATGCACATGCATACAACAATGTGAACACATACACCACACACACACACACACACACAAACACACACACACACACAAATGAAACTAACAAAAAAGGTGACTAACACAGACACCAATCTAAAAATAACCTAGGCAATTACTTGTAAGTTGAAGAAAACAGAAGTGTTTACTTACTAGGCAATAGCTCTCTATCAGCAGTCTCTGTGCAGCTGGGATAAGGGTAAAATAGATGTCCCTTCTCTAATGGGTATGGAATCATTCTAAAAGCTGAAAAGAAAAATACATTAGCATTCAATTTTATCTTACTCATCTATGCTATAAATCAAACCTATTCTGCAGACATATTTTTATAACTTTTTCACAAAGCATTTTATCTTCTTTTCTGGAGAGACATTTTAGATGAAGCAAAATGAGCAGAAGAACATATGATCGCATGGGGATAGACTAAGATTTACTAAGAGAATAGCGAGTGGTCTAGTGTGAGGCTAAATGGAATGAATGCTAGAAGATAATGTCGGCTGAGGCCTCTTTGCCTCGGTCTCCTCATCACAATCATGGACTCAACTCCACAAGTATAAATCCTGCTTCCTTAAGGAATCTTCAAGAAATAGTAATGAGTATACTTGTGGCTCTCAAGCTAAAGGAGTTTTGCTGGCTTAGTACTCTACCGATGAGGCTCACAAAAGTCTTCTATAAGAATGCACAGTCATATACCCACACACATAAAATAAAATATTTTTTTAATATTTATTTATTATGTATACAATATTCTGTCTGTGTGTATGCCTGCAGGCCAGAAGAGGGCACCAGACCTCATTACAGATGGTTGCAAGCCACCATGTGGTTGCTGGGAACTGAATTCAGGACCTTTGGAAGAGCAGGCAATGCTCTTAACCTCTGAGCTATCTCTCCAGCCCTAATAAAATAAATTTTTTAGAAAAAGACTATTCAGATCTGGTTGAGGGATCATGAAAGTCATTATCTGTCCAGTGTCATTCAACAATCAGTGCTAATATAAGGAAGGAAGTCATTTATCAAGATGCATGGAATGTAGCACTTGGTGAAAACCCTTCAGGGCCAAGCAGAATACCAGGTAATAGACACATATATGAAATGAATGAGAAAATCCCTGGCTTTGAACACCTGATAATCAGCTAAAAGAAGCCTAACTACTCAAAAGCATTCAATACAAAATTTCAATTTGATTTAGTTCTCTATTGTCAAGCACAGTGTATGACTGTTGTTAATAACTGGTTATACAGATTTCCAAACTCTTGGTGCACAGAAAATGATGTCCTCATGCCTTACTGATAATGGTGGTGGCAGTGGTTATTAAATGCAGGGTCCCAAGCACACTAAGCTTGTATTCTACGTTGGGGCCTTAGTAAATATGACTTACTAATTAGTGGACCCAAACAGTTCTAATAACTCAGAAATTTGAGAAAATATACAAAAATTGAAAAGTTTGAGTCTTACTTCATTTTAAAGTAAACCTAATTTCAACAGGCTGTGGTGTTTGAACCTGTAGTACCAGCTACTCAGGAGACAAAAGCAGGAGAATTGCATTAGCTCACGTTCAGTGCTGACCTGAATGGCAACATGAAGATATCCATCTTAAAACATTTCTTACCAATGAGCTATATTTAGGAACCTTTAGGACACTGCACAATTACTCTACCTTGGGACTGGATCAGACATCACTAATATCATTTCCTCATCATTTCCTGCCCCACATTGATTCCTGTCATGCTATTTCTTTTAGTCATAGCAGTTAACAAAACAAAACTGCCGAATTATGACGATACTAGACAGAGATGGACCTATGCTAAAACTGAATTCTACCTGGAGTTAACGATTTAAGTGGTATTTGACAGATGTTGAGTGCTTCCATTAAAAATATACAATAATGGGCCGGGCGGTGGTGATGCACACCTTTAATACCAGCACTCAGGAGGCAGAGGCAGGTGGATCTCTGTGAGTTCAAGGCCAGTCTGGTCTACAAGAGCTAGTTCCAGGACAGGCACCAAAGCTATAGAGAAACCTTGTCTCGAAAAATACACACACACACACACACACACACACACACACACTAACATAGAACAATCAGTAGAACTGTCTTCTGGGAGTGACCTTCAGTAGTCTACTTCTGGGAGCTAGCATTGTCCACTGGCACGGTAAAGAGGGGAAGGAAGAAAGGTCTTTGCTAGCATTTCACATCTAGAAGACAGTTTTAAGTTATGACCATAGGTTTATATGTGCAGTTTTCATAAAGTACTAGTGTCTTCTCTGCACAATGTTCATGATTTTAGCACACCGAAGGTTAATAGTATCATTGGATGACAATGCATGGGTCAAAAGACAAAAAGTCCAGTAAATTAGATAGTCTCTTTGTCTGTTATAATGCAAATAAACACATTTTAGATAAAGAACAACGGTCTAGAGCAGACAGAGCAACAGTGAGAGAAGGGCAATTACACTGTAAATGGTAAGCCAGTCATAGTGAGACTGTCTCAAAACAAAAAAACCAAAGCAAAACCCAAACAAAAGGTAGCAAAATACTGACACATACTACAACACAAATGAACATTGTCAATATTATGCTAAATAAGTGAAATCCAAAAAGATAATTACTGTGTAACTACAGTATATAAAGTACCTAAACTCATGAGTCAGAACTATGAACACTGAAAGGGTCCAGAAAGGTGAGAATGAAGATTATTATGTGTGGGCTAGAGAAAGTCCAGTGGTTAAGAGTACTGACTGCTCTCCCAGAGGACCCAGATTCCGTTCCCAGCACCCATATGGCAGCTCACATCTGTCTATAACTAAGGTTCCAAGGATCTAACACCCTTACACAGACATGAATGCAGACAAAACGCCAATGTACAAAAAATAAAATTAAATTAAATCTTAAAAAGACAATATTATTATGTGCATTTCAGTTTGGGAAGGTGCAAAGGTTCTGGAAATGAAAGCTGATGACAGGTGCTCAATAATGTGAGCATATACAACACTACTGAACTGGATTCACAACAGCTACAGGGGTAAATTTTATGTAATGAATGTTTCCCCACAATCACAGTCTAAAGCCAGGTGTGGGAGTCCAGGCTTACAGTTCTAGCACTTGGGAGGTGGTAGCAGGAATCAGAAATTTAATATCTTACTCAGCTACACAGTGAGCTCGAGGCCTGCCTGAACCACAGGAGACACTGAGGGAGAGGGAGAGAGAATGAACTGAGCTGCTGCACTGACCGTCAACTCGACCTAAACCCATCACCCGAGAAGAGAGAACCCCAACTGAGGAACTGCCTCCAGACTGGCCAGTGGGCATGTCCACAGGACACTGTCACATTGCTAATTGATGTAGAAGAGCCTAACCCACTGCGGGTGGTGTCACCCCTGAGCATGTTGGTCTGTACTGTCTAAAAAAGCAAGCTGAGCAAGCCAATAAAATGTTCCTCTTTCTATGGTTCTGCCTTGAGTTTCTGCTTTGGCTCCCTCAATGACAGACTGTAAACTATAGAATGAAAGTTGCTATTGGCCATAGTGTTTATCACAGTGACAGAAAAAAAAAAACAGAACAGCTGCTGTAACACATTTGAAAACAAAACAACAAACCAGACCATTTATTTTTATATTGTAAAATTTATTTAATTTTATGTGAATGAATGCTTTGCCTGCAAGTATATATGTGCATCATTGTGTGTCTGGTGCCACTGGTCAGAAGAGGGCAATGAATCCCTTAGAACTGGAGTTCAGGAGATTGTGCGTCACCATGTGGATGCTGGGAAACAAACTTGGGTCCTCTCCAAGAGCAACAAGTGCTATAACTGAGACATGTTTTCTGTTCATAAACCAGGTTTTTCGTTCGTTCATTCGTCCTTTCTTTCGTCCTTTCTTTCTTTCTTTTTGCTTGTTTTTTAATTTTAGAACAGGGCTGGGTGCACAGCTCAGTGACACAACATATGCTATTAGTGTAGTCAGGCTTTGGTTTCAACCTTCCTCACCTCATCACAAAAACTAAACAAAACTAACTAACCAACCAAACAACTAAAGCAACAAAACTTAATCACATTAATAAAGCTTATAAGCTAAAAGGCATACATTTTCATTTTCTCTCACTACAATACTCTACTTTAACAAAATATCCTAAGAGTTCCTCTATCTGCTTTTCCTAAATGTGACCTCAATATATTTCAAATTATTTCTTCTACCAAGTACAATGGCACAGAGATTATTTGAAACTACTTCAAGTCCTGAAACTCACACAATCATTTGAAAAGACTGCATGTGGATGCAATGAACATTAAGAGAGATTAGCATTACATCTAGCCAAGAGCACTTACTGCCTTCCCACGTACACTGCAAGAGGTTCAGAGCACCTTCTATCCGTTTCCAGTGCTGCAGATGAAAGAAAGCATAGGCAATTGCTTCACTATCTCCTCGCTTCAGGATGTGTTCCGGAGGTAAAATTAAACTTTTCATCTCTAGTAAGTACTGCAAAGACAACACATGCACACCAAGAAATTAAATTGTGTTAAGTGCAAACATCAACAAACATTTATTCAAATGTTACAAATTGGTTTAAAGGCACACACACATTAAACTAGTTAAAATAACATGCAGGTCCAACTGAAAACTTGCTTAAAGTGCTTGTTATACTTGTAAATTTCCAAAGTGAGAATTTCCTATAGGTAAAAACAAATTGACAAACAGCTTATGTGACCTTGCAAAATACAAAATGGAAAGTTAAACTGAGGAAATAATGTGAGACAAATACTTTCCAAAAAAAAAACCAAATAAATGTAAAATCATAAAATACAAATTAGTGAAAGTATTTTGTGGCATCATTCAATTATGTTTTCTTTTATTCCTATTTTATGGGTAGAAAACTTAACTGTGGGGTAAAATCAATTCATTTATATTCACTAAGTACAAGACAGTATGCTCACTACGGAACACCAAAAAAACCCTCATATTGTAATGAGAAAAACAGATTTCTTAAGTAAATAATTATAATCAGATTGTGGTAGGGTCCTTAAAAAATTACAAAGCAATAGGAAATACTAATTTTGTCTTGTTTTTAAAACAGCTTTGTTGAGATATAATTCACATAGCATTGAGTTATATTATTTGAGAATTCAGTGGTTTTTATTATAGTAAAATAAGTACATCCACCGCCGCAGTCAGTGTGAACACACTGCATCACCATGACTCTGGACCCTCTGATACCATTCAGTCCACTTCTCATTTCTCATTCCTCTGAGCCACGTGCTAACCTGTTTTCTGTCTCCTTAACTGCCTATTCTGAACACCTCATACAGATGGACTAACATGTTATCATAATACTGTTATAATATATTATATGATATCTGTAGAAACGTGTGACTAGTTTCTTTCACTAAGCAGTTTTGAGGTTCATCTAAGTCACAACACATAGTGGTACCGCCATTTCTCTTTAGAGTCAAATAACATATCTCATAAATACACCATGCTTACTTATCTAGTCATTAGCTGCTAGACATGTGCCCTTTCCACGTTTTGGCTTTTAGAAAGAATAATGCAGGGCTGGGGGCATAGAGTGCTTGCCTAGTATGCATGAAGCCCTCCCTGGGTTAGATACCTAGAACGTAAACCAAAGATGGTGGTGCACACCTGTAGTCCTAATACTCAGGAGGTAGAGGCTGAAGGATGAGATTTCAAGGTCATTCCTGACTACACTGTAAGTTCAAGGCCAGGGTGGCATACGTAAGAACTTGTCTCAAAAACAAAACAAAACAAAAATCAGAAAAAGCAAGCAAGAAACAAAAGCAAATGGTAATTTTAACAAGTATTTATATACAATCTTTGGTATAAATCTGTTTCATTTCTCTTGAGTAAACACCTTGGGATGGTAATGCTGAGATATACAGTAAGTATATGTTGATTTGAGTTGATATTTAAAGAGGATCAGAATATGGATAATTATACTGGGAGTAAGCAGATGTCAGAACAGAAGATATATTCACAGCACAGGCCCAACAAAAGCAAGGGAGAATCTTAGAAATAAAAAAGTAAGGATTTCAAATCCTTAAGCCTTAAGTAATTAATCTAAAATATTCATTGTACCAATACATCTGAAATGATATTTCTTTGTTTATAAAGTGTGCCTCTCCATGCATCCCCAAGATCACTGCCCATCTTTAATTACTCCTACTCCTGATGTTTCTGGCTCCTCAAAGTGTAAGAAGGCAGTCTGCTCATCAATTTATTTTAGCAGATGTCACAAACTATGAGATTATTTACTAATCCAGTTTGGGTACTTAACATTTCCCATTCAGTTTCTTAAAAGGAATGCAGCAGAGGTTGCGTCCTGGTCAGGCAAAGCCCATTTGCTGCCTGGTTGGGTTCTCTCTCCTCAGCGCCCTGGGCCTGTATTCAGGCGGGTAATATTCTTTCTAATCCTCTCTAATCCTGGCCCATTTTTTTTGAAACACAGTAAAAGATCACTCACACCAGGCAGCTGTGGGAAAATGGACTCCAATGGCTGACCTCTGACACGATTCCTCATGCTCCTTGCAAGTGCACTAAGAGCTTCTTCAGTAGGAAGCTCAGCCTTATCACAGTGGGAGAGCATCGTCAGACCAGTGTTGCAGCTACAGAGGAAAACTTTAATTCTTAAATCACGTCCTTTCTACTAAAACTCTAATTTAGAAATGCGGGGTTTGGAGGAAGCCCCACTCATTTTCATTTAGAATGTGAAAGCTTTACACAAAGTAAAATGGTATTCAGTGTTTGGGGCTATGTAGGCAGATATTTGGTAAATCATATCAACTTAATATGTCCAGAAAACACTTTTTTGAATAGTAACTATATACCTATATTTTCAGTGTCAATGATTTTCAGTATCAATGCACACAGTACATAAATAAATACGGCACATTTAATTTGAAGTTATAATTCATAATTTTAAAATTTGATTTGTATTTTGTTTTGATTTGGGATCTGGAACTCAGGCTGTAAGCACACTGCATAATAACTCTTACCACTAAGCTAAATCCTTAGCCTAAATGTCCTTTTCAAATTGACTTTAAAGCAAATTTTTTTTTTCAATTTCTACCAAGGTAAAATTTGGTTCCTAAAATGTAAGAAAAAATTCAGTTTTAAAAAAGTACCTTTGCTAGAGAGCTACGTCAGTGGTTAAAGCACTTATTGCTTTCAAAGGCCTTGTATTTGGTTTCCAGCACCCACATGGCAGCTCACAACCATCTATAACTTTAGTTCCAAGGGATCCAAGGCTCTGTTTTAGTCTTTGTGGATAACAGGAACACACACGATGCACATACATTCATACAGGAAAAACACTCATAAAATAAAAAGAATTTTTTTTGTAAATACTTAATGGATCTGGGACAGCTCGATATGGAGCATGTCCTCAACACGCTCCAAGCCTCGGCTTCAGTCCCTAGCATAAATAAGATATAATATTATTACAATACTTATTTTACGTCCTTCAGAAATTGCAATTCAGGAGTTTCTATTATCCAGTGTAGACTTGAAGTTAATGCACAACAAAAACTCTACCCTACAGACGTTCTGCAGTACCTAGCGCATTCTGCTACCTAAAACAGTCACTGAAATAAGCTGACAGACACAACAAAATGTCTGCAAATTCATCCATCAGTTTTTACTTAGAGACACTTTTATAGTGTGTGTGAGCATGCGAGTACACAAGTGTAGACTGTGGAGGCTAGATGTCATCTTCTATTGCTCCCGGTTTTCAAAACTCTCTTAATTGTTGTAGTTATTATTATGAATATGATGATCAGGCAATAGTAATAGTAGTAGTAGTAGTAGCAGATCTCCTGAGTAAATTAGGAGCACTGAGACATGTTGCCAGTTCTAGAATATTACTTTTTAATTCAGTCTTACTCTAGTTTTCAGGACATGGGCAGATTGGACCATAGACCTTTTGTCTGAAATGTTACATGAATTATCTAATGCAATTTTCAATAGTCCTTATTTCCCTCTGAAACTTCGTAAGACTGGCCTTTATTGTATGCATTTCTAGATACTCTGATCTTCTGAACTCCTACCAGAGAGGCCCATTAAGCTTCAGGGCTTCTCTAGTCCACAGCTCTGAATTTTTCCACATTTTTCCTACAAACTAGTTGTAAACATGTAGTCCAGTTTATCACAGCAATGACCCCATTGCTGGTTATTGCTGAAAGAAGAAATTTAATGGAGGAGATCTAGCTTGACTCTAGTATAAGATATATAATCTATTATTGCAGGGAAGGCAGTGGCTGATATGGCTGGTCCAGTTGAGGCAGGAGATTGAGATATTACTAGGTGCATCTGGAACAGGAAGGAGAGAGCCTGAGCTAAACACAAAGACAGCCTAGAACTCCAAAGCCCTGTATTTGCCATCTAGACCACATGTCCAAAAGGTTCTATAACCTCTCAGTGCAGTACCACCAGCTAGGAACCAAATGCTCAAATGCAAATACATGAGACATTCCACATTTAAACCAAAACACACGCTTCAGTTTAGCAAACTAAAATAGACTCCTTTAAGACAACAGGCCAGGTGGTGGCAGCAGCACACGCCTTGGGAGGCAGAGGCAGGCTTACTCTCCTCAAGGTCAGCCTAGTCTACAGAGTGAGTTCCAGGACTGCCAAGGTTTCGTGAAGAAACCCAGTCTCAAAATACCATTAAAAAAGAAAAAAACAAAACAAAACAGGACAATGGGTGATCAAAAGCTTAGAGCATGGCAGATGGAGAAGAGATTGAATATATATACAACAAATAGGGAGATATAACAAGACACGACTAATCCAGGAACATTGACTTGAGATAAGAAGCAAAACAAGTGGTACGAAGACTGTAGATGCTGGAGTCAGACTGAAGAGTTCCCATTAGTGTAATACTAAAGGGTTGGTTCTCACCCTATAAAGAGCAGAGAATTCACAGAAATCTTAAAGCAAAGTGAAATTTGCTAGTTGGGTAAAAAACTGGCAATACAGTAGAGAGGGGCTAATAGCAGGAAGATCAGTGGGGAATCTGTCTAGTCGTCCACGCGAGAAATGGTAACATTTTTGAGACACGTTTAGATATTTAGAAATTCATATAAAGTACCAGGCAATTGTGGTGAACACTTGTAATCTCTGCACTCAGGAAGCTGAGGCAGGAAGACCATGAGTCTGAGGCTAGTCTTAGATTCTAGCAAATCCAAGGCCAGCTTGAACTGTGCAGTGAAATCCTGTCTTGGGGTGGGGGAGTGGGGTGGAGAGAGGATAGGAATATAAATGTCTGATAACATTTATAATAAGCAGAAATAATAGTTAATTTCAGAAAGTAGAAGTTGGCTAAATAATGAACTTGTTTTTTTAACTTAGAAACTTTTGAAATATTTAATATTAAAAAAATAGTTTGCTTCAATAATAAAAGCAACAATAACATGTACTTTTAAAAATACATAGTGAAGGCGCACAATAGTCAATGAGAATGGTGATGC